TGTGTGTGTTTGTGCGTGTGTGCTGTTGACTTATTTTCTCAATTTTAAAAGCACCGGGAAAAAAAAAAAAATCCCAGACGCATTGCATCAAATGGAAGCTGGCATTGATTGTGGGCTTTGAAAATGGCTTTAGTTCTTATCTTTAATGGTGCACATGGTCATTTGAACCTTGACACGTGTGTGTGCGTGTGTGTGTGTGTGTGTGTGTGTGTGTGTGTGTGTGTGTGTGTGTGTGTGCGTGCGTGTGTGATGTCAGGTACATCCAAAGTTTGATGGAGATCCTCGACTTCCTCCACAAGAACCCGGACGACCACAAAGTCCTCGGAGAGTAAGTTGAATTTCTTCCGTACCCAAAAGAGAACCAAATATTTTTATTTGTGTCATTCAGTAACATAAAATGGAACTTTATAAGAATGCACATGATTAAAAAAATAAATAAACTGAGTGTAACGACATCACTTAGTTTCCAAAACTATTCATGCTAACTGTTACCAAGTCAATGGTGTTTTGCATTGTTTGTTAGCATGAAGCTAAGACGGCTTTTTTTGGGCACAGCTATGTTTTCCCCTCGTCTGTCCAGGTTTGTGGACGCCCTTGTGACCATTCGTAACCGCCACAACGACGTGGTCCCCACCATGGCTCAGGGCGTGATGGAGTACAAGGATGCCTTCCCGCAGGACGCCGTCACCAACCAGAACATCCAGTACTTCCTGGACCGCTTCTACATGAGCCGCATCTCCATCCGCATGCTCATCAACCAGCACAGTGTGTAACCGTGACGACGGGGGACCCTCGGTGCGCGTCCGGACGTATTGAAAAATGGTCCCTGTCTCTCTTGCCAGCGCTCATTTTTGACGGCACCACCAACCCCGTGCACCCCAACACCATCGGCAGCATCGACCCACACTGTCAGGTGGGCGACGTGGTGCAGGGTAAATGTTGGCCTTGTTATTTCAGTGTTCCCCGGAAATGTTGATCGTCGCCGGGAGTTGAATTTGTGGTTAGGGAACCACAAAAACGCCGGGGACGATTATTATTATTATGATTATGGTCGTTATTCGAAAGGCAATCAATGTGTGTGGAAAAAAAAAAAACCGAATTCTTTGCTTTGTGTTTCAGACGCCTTCCACAGCGCCAAGATGCTGTGCGAGCAGTATTACCTGCGCTCGCCTCCGCTCCTTCTCGAAGAGATCAACGGTGAGTGCAACTCAACTTCTGGAACGTAACCCTCGGCCATCGTTCCATTCAGAAATTCAGGAATCGCTCGCTCCGTTTCGGCGTAGTGGATGGGATTGGAGGTTGGGGTGCAGTTAGCGCCAGTTGCTCCAATTTGTCGACGATAATCATCACTTGCTCGACTGTGATGACGTTCCGAGCCCGACGCCTCAGGCTGCGATCCATTTCGGGCGTTGAGCAAACAGGTTCAGCTGTTGCCTGAACCGTCGGCGTATGGGTGATTCTTTGGATGCATTCGTGGGAACATTCCAGAGGGATCGCATGCAAGAACAAACAGCGCCAGCCTTGCTTGTGTACACACGAGATGCAAAGTGCTCAGGCTTTTTGGGTGGCCCCCCCCCCCCCAAGACCCCCGCCGCTAAGTTTAGCAGCACTCGGGCTGAAGTCGCGGTCGAGCAAGGCGGACAAATATTGACGCGGAGAACTGGCCGGGTGTGGAAAATGCACGCAAGTGGTTGATGACATTCAAATGACGATTGTTGTTTTGTTTTTTTGCGCAGCCAAGAAAACGCGGCAGCCCATCGGCATCGTTTATGTGCCGTCGCACTTGTATCACATGCTGTTCGAGCTCTTTAAGGTAAGGCCGCCGACACTTGCACGCAAATGCTCCTCATGAATACGATGACTCACTGTGACTTTATTGTCCTCCTCGCGACCAGAACGCCATGAGGGCGACCATCGAGACCCACGGCGACAGAGAGCTGCCGGCCATCCAGGTCCTGGTGTCTCTTGGCGGAGAGGACATGTCCATTAAGGTGCGGAGTACACCAAGTTGCCATTTCTCTGCTGGCGTGAATTTTGGCACTCTAACATAAAATCTTTCAAGTGGTGTAAATCAAGAGGCGCACTCAAAGTCAAAACAAACTGTCGCCGACGTCGTTCGCCCCTTTTACCGGCAGGTGAGCGACAAAGGCGGCGGCGTTCCCTTCCGCCGGATCGACAACCTCTTCAGCTACATGTACTCCACCGCCCCCGCGCCACAGATGGGCGAACACGCCCGACCGCCGCTGGTGGGTCCGCCACGTTGCGTCACAGTCGCGGTTCCCAAACGGGAGCGGGTTTTAAAGACGTGCTTCCGTGCGCGCAGGCCGGTTTCGGCTACGGGCTTCCCATCTCGCGTCTCTACGCCAAGTACTTCCAGGGCGACATGCAGCTCTATTCCATGGAAGGCCACGGAACCGACGCCGTCATCTACCTGAAGGTAAGATGAAGCACCTGCTCATTATTCCTGCCGAAGCCAACTTTTTTTTCCAGGATTTTTTTGAATGGGATGGCATTGCACGTCAAAACATACGCAAGGGAGAGGGGGAAAATAAACAGCGAGTTCTGTGCGGTGTGTCTCAGGCGCTGTCCACGGACTCCATCGAGAGGCTGCCGGTGTACAATAAGACGGCGCTGAGGAACTACAAAGTGAGCCAGGAGGCGGACGACTGGTGCATCCCCAGCAGAGAACCACTGGACCTGAGCAACTACAAGGTGGCCAAGTGAAGCCGAGTCCTGGCCGTGTAAACGCCTCCCCCTGCTGCCCAGCCCCCCCCCCAAAAGAGCACTCCCGCAGACCTCCGCACCCCTGGACCAATCAGACAACTGCCTGCTCTCACTTCAGTTTTAGCGGTAGCATGTGGTTTTTGCCGGAGACGATGGGAGGATGTCAAGAACGTCGTCAGAGTCCGATGAGCGCAGCCGTCCCGCGCGGCTCCCAGCATGTTGTCGGCTTGGAACGCAGGTGGTGTAAACGACCCCCCCCCCCC